CGTTTGAATCGTCAGTGGCAAATCCTTTAAATATGAAAACGTACTTACAGTCTGTGAGTCAGAACAGCCGGCATTGTAGTCTACTCTCCCAAGATCAGGAAACAGTCCTCCATAAAATGTGCTGCACACATCTGAATATTTGGGTTGAAGTGTTCTGGAATAGTGTTGTAAATACAACTTAACCACTGATTTCTAGTCGTGTCCTCTTTTGTACAAAGTAGTTTCGCTTTCACAACGAAACACACAGCGCCTTCACGACATGGCGGCAGCAACAACAATACTACAGTGAGAATAAAAGTTACGCCTTCTTTCTTTGCGTGAACATTTGGGTGGCGTTATGCAAATCTTCCCACATCGTGACGTAGACATGTGGGGGCGTGTTAGAACGAGCCGTTTTAGGTTGACTCTTAACTTTTATAAAGAATATCTCTTTGGATTTCAGACTTTAGACTTTGTAACTTTACAGATCTTTATGCTGCAAGAGCTTATAACACTCCAAAGAGAAAGGAAACATTTTAAATCGCATCATATGACCCCTTTAAATGTTTTTAATAAATTCTGTTCTGCTCACCAAGGCTGAATTTAAGTGCTCAAAAATACAGTAATATTGTGAAATATTATTTCAATTTAAAATGAGTTTTCTATGTGAATATCTGTTCAAATGTAATTTATTGCTGTGATCAAAGCTGAATTTTCAGCATCATTACTCCAGTCTTCAGTGTCACATGATCCTTCAGAATTCATTCTACTATGCTGATTTGCTGCTTAATTAAAATTGGCGCTCAGTCATTAATAATGGTTCTTATCATTAACAATGCTAAAAAAGTTTTTTGCTGCTTAATATTTTGTGGAAACATTTTTTTCAGGATTCTTTGATGAATAGAAAGTTCAAAAGAACAGCATTTTTTTAATAGAAATCTTTCATAACATTATAAATGTCTTTACTGGCACTTTTGATAAATGTAATGCATATTTGCGGAATAAAAGCATTAATTTCTATTAAAACAAAACATTTAAATGGTAGTATATCATGGTTTCTGCATAAATATTCAGCAACACAACTGTTTTCAACATTGATAATAATCAGAAATGTTTCTTGAGCAGCAAGTCAGCATATTAGAATGATTTCTGAAGGAAATTCAGCTTTGATCGCAGCAATTAATTACATTTTATTATTATTCACATTGAAAACAGCTATTTTAAACTGTAAAAATGTTTTCACAATATTACCGTTTTTACTGTATTTTTTGAGTTGTAAAAAATTGTAATGTTTCCATACTTTTAACAAGTACTGTATATGATTTCATTGCATGGAAAAACACAGCGTGACCACGGAGGAAAGCAAGTCATACAGGTTCGAAACAACAAGAATCTTCATTTTTGGGTGAAGTATAGACAAATAAACCTGCAGTGGTCCGTTCTTCCCCTCGGCAGCAGCTGAATATCTCATACCAAGACGACTCTTATCTTTCCTGTCACAGCTGTCCGATGATTAACTCACCATGCACTGCTGCGCTTCGATATCGTTAAAATGGGGAAGTGTTTGCCCTTCCATGATCAGACTCACTCTGCATGATCTGTCATTTTATTGAGCTTGTTTGCGTGTGGTGAAATGTCTGATGTGGGTTGTGAAATGTGGTACAAGTCTGAAGGTGAAGGTGAATTAAAACTTCAATTATTACTTATAACAATGCTCCGGTTTCAATATAAATCAGGCTTTACCCAACATTACACTGACCCAGCACTGGGGAGGTGGTGTGAGGGGTTCATCATTTGTATTGACAGTAAAAATGACCCAGCAGCTGAGTTTCAGAAAAACTACCTAGCACCCTGGTAAAAAAATATATATATAAAAAAAATCACCCAACAGGCTGAACCCAGCATTTGGGTTAAAAAAACATAACCTAGCATTTTTTTTAAGTGTATATATATATATATATACATTATATATATATATATATATAAAACTAATAAAAATGACAAAAGCTCAAAACTAAAAATAAAATGAAAACTGCAAATATAAAAAAATATTAAACAAATAAAATAAAAAAAACATTGCAAATGTTGCATTGGCAGCTAACTGAAATAATTAATACAAAAGTTCTAAAGTACTAAAATTATAAAACTGAAATAAAATTAACTGACAAAAATGACAAAATCGTAAAACAAAAGTGCTAAAACTGAAAATTTTAAAATAAAAGCTAATTTAAAAAATATTAGAATTAATTATAGTATATAAATAATTCTAAAATAACTGATGTTTACGTGACCCGAAATCAATCCATTTGAATTACATTGGCAAAGTATAACCAGATGCTCATCCAATGAGTATTCAAAGGATGATTTATACAATATTACGGCTCAAATAACACAATTTTGTAGGGGGATGAGTCTGGGTCTGGTTATAGCTGGATAAAGATAACTAGTCTTACAACTCCCTGACATTTCCGCTCTAATGAAACACATCTAGAAATAACAATAAATCAAGCATACATCATAAATTCCAAAATTCATTCTAAAGATCTCATTTAAAATAAAGATTTCGCTCCAGACATTACGGTTCTTAAATTCAGCTATAGTCGTCAGCATGATGCACACAAAAAGCACTTAATATTATAATAATATTACTACACCAGATAAACATTTCATTTCACTCTTCCTCACCGCATAATTAAACTGACAAGATAAACGTCATAATGCATTTTTATATAATTAAAACTCACATGCACACACACACACACACACACACACACACACGCTCATGCTTATCAGATATTAAATCAGTAAATCACAAGCACATTTTGCTGTTGGCATGGCTTTTCTCACCGTAAGGAGGCGGTACTGGTCTCTGCGGTCCGGGTTTTTTGGGAGGAGGCAGCGGGTACGTCGGCTTTCGGCTCTGAGGCTCTGAGCTCGAGCTCTGAGAACAAAAACAAATCACAACACTGCATCTACACAAGCTACTGATCAATAATCACACAAAAACCCAACTGCTTACTGCATATTGCAACGTATATAATCCTGCCTATATTATTTAGTATGTAATAAAAAAAAAAACAGTATGCAGTAATGGACCCTTTTGACATTTTCAGTTGTCATAGTTGGGTAAATTTATATCAGGGTTTCTGAAGATTTTACGAAGATAAATTTAAGAAAATTAAGGAACACAATTTGTTTTATAAGCCACACCTCAAAGTTTGGAACGTCCAACCGAACTCCATTACATGTTAATTCATTTTGCAAAAAAATAGCTTAAGGTTTGAATAGCTCTGATCACAACCACTAGAATATGGAAATAACTTTTAATGCACCTTCTGTTCACACTGTTAAAAAGTGCTGTTCTTCATCAGAATTTTTTGTCTTTATTTCGAGTGCAAATGTCTTAAGATCCTGAAATCAAGATACATTTGTGACCCTGGACCACAAAACCAGTCATAAGGGTCACTTTTTTAAAATTGAGATGTATACATCACCTGAAAGCTGAATAAATAAGCTTTCCATTGATGTATGGTTTGTTAGGATAGGACAATATTTGGTCGAGATACAACTATTTGAAAATCTGGAATCTGAGGGTGCAAAAAAAATCTAAATATTGAGAAAATCACCTTTAAAGTTGTCCAAATTAAGTTCTTAGCAATGCATATTACTGATCAAAACTGAAGTTTTGATATCTATATACGGTAGGACATTTACAAAATATCTTCATGGAACATGATCTTTACTTAACATCCTAATGATTTTTGGCATAAAAGAAAAATCTATAATTTTGACCCATACAATGTTTTTTTGGCTATTGCTACAAATATACCCCAGCGACTTAAGACTGCTTTTGTGCTGCAGGGTCACATTTACTTGACAATCTTGTTTTATGTGAAACTGACCAAAATGAAGCGAATTATAAAAGCTCATAAAACTCAATTTAATTCAAAGGGAAAACAAGTTTTTATTCCCCATAGGCAGATATTTGTTCTTGTTTTAAACAAACTCACTTAATTCTGTTCAATTTCTCAGAAAACAAGACTTCATATCTTATAATATAAATATCTTGCAAGTATAAATGCATGTTGATTTATGGATGTTTAGATATTTGTATTAGAAAACAAGACAGAAAATACTGAGGAAGATATTAGTTTTTAGCAATGCATGCAACATTTGATGCCATGACTTTCTGCCAATGAGTTTCTGCTCTGATTTCGTTTGTGGAAGAGCGAATTAAGACTTTTTAAGACCCGCAGAAACCCTGTTATATTGTGATGAATGGAAACTACAATAAATATAATGAATACTATGAACACTTCAACCTGAATTATGTTAGATGACCGTGTGAACATTGCATGTTTAATTGCATGTTTTATGTTTTACAGTGAATGTTTATTTCGGTCAGGCAAGGCAAGGCAAGGCAAGTTTATTTATATAGCACATTTCATACACAATGGTAATTCAAAGTGCTTTACATAAAAGAAAAGAAAAAAAAATAATCACAACAATAAAACAAGGAATTTAAAAACTTTGAAAATGATTAAAAAAATTGATTTAAGAGATAAGGCTAGGTAAATCTGGGTATCATCTGCATAGCTGTGATAGGCGATTTGGTTCTTTCTCATTATTTGACTTAGTGGGAGCATAGTCAGAGGCCTCTATATCAGTTTATTTTGCATATTTAAGGTAGTTTTGTGTAAAAATAGTTTATTATTAACTCTTTTAATACATTTTAATGCATGCATTTTTTTTATTCTTTGCTTTTATTGTTTCTTTTGTATTTTATACCTCTGTTGTGATCGTTTTATGATTATTTTAAATCCTTTTTATGTAATGCGCTTTGAATTATCATTGTGCATGAAATGTCCTATATAAATAAACATGCTTGCTTGCTAAAAATGTCTTAAAAATCATTTCATATATCATTCATCGCTTGAGATGGAAGGTGAGGTCGGGTTCATTGCATTGTGGGATACGGTAATCCATGCAGTGTGCTCTGGTTGTATCACTTACATTTGACAAATGTAGCAGATCATTCAGATATTCCATGAATACAAACAAGTTCACATACTGTTTAGAGTGTGCATGATGCATACTACAAAACAGGACAAGCAGTATGCTATTTACTGAGTACTTTCCCAAATGCGAGTTAGCTTAGTATAACCGAGCTGAGCTTACATTGATCTGGATGAACTACTGTAGATTCCTCTTTTGAACATACCTTTGACAATTGAGAGAAATCAGCGAAACCACCTTTCCCTCCAAAAGAGTCGCTACCGAATGGGTCTGACGCAGCAAACGGGTCTGTTTATGAAAGAGAGAACGCACAAGCAAATGATTTGATGGAAACAACACGGCCGCTGCGTTTCAACCACTGCATATGCTCAGTTATGTGAGGCACAAACACAGGTGCTATTTTAAGAGAGCGGCTTGTATGTGGCCAGTGTTTCTCATTTTCCATGACTTTCAGCTTCTGAAAAGCACACGTTTTGTTTTCCATCTGCAGCTTTTTTTGTTTTCCATCTTCAGCTTTTTTTGTTTTCCATCTTCGACGTATGTTTCTGATTAAGTAATGACGACATTATGAAAGAGTCATACAGTTGAGCCATTCCTACTTACTACGCAGTACATTTTTATGCCCTCATCTTAATTAATATAATTAATAAATTTTTTTTTTTTTTTGTATAATTGGGATATTATTATATATTTTCTTATATATAATCAGTTTTTATTTTTATATTTTCATTTTCATTTTAGCTAAAAAAAAATTAATTTTGTGGTTTTGTCATTTTTTTGTTTTAAATATTTTATTTCAGTTAACATTTATTTTAAGTAACAAAATGGATTTAATTTTAGTTTAATTTTTAGTTTTAGTTAACTATAATAACTCTGGGTGCAACTTCTATAAATGAAGAATCTTTATCAAAAATTTTATTAAATATTACAGATATTTCATCATTTTTTTGTTTTAACTTTTACAAATGTTTCAAACTTAACATGCTTTCTTGTAAATATTGTTTCTTTTCTCTCTTTATTTCCAGCCTGTTCATCCTGTAAATAATCAATTTATACTAATAAATCTAATAATATTCACTACCAAATATTTCAAATGTTCGGGGTCATTATTTTTTTTAATCGTTTTGAAATAAGACTTATGCTCATCAAGGCTGCATTTATTAATACAGTAAAATCAGTAATATTGTGAAAAAATATTACAGTTTAAAATAACTCTTTTCTATGTGAATATATTGTAAAATGTAATTTATTTCTGTGATGCGCAGCTGAATTTTCAGCATCATTACTCCAGTCTTCAGTGTCACATGATCTTCAGAAATCATTCTAATATGCTGATTTGCTGCTCAAGAAACATTTCTGATTATTATCAATGTTGAAAACAGTTGTGCCACTTCATAATTTTGTGGAAACTGTGATGCATTTTAATTTTGAGGATTCTTTGATGAATAGAACGCATTTATTTGAACATTACAGTAACATTATTAATGTTTTTACTGTCACTTTTGATCAATTTAATGCATCCTTGTTTCTGAAACTTATTACATCCACAGAAACTCTTCCTAAAATTACAATTACATACAAAAGCTAGAGTGCAAAAGGTTCACAACAAGAATAACCCAATTATGAACACAGATGAAGATATGGAGGATGAAAAAAGACAAGCTATTGTAAGTCCATGTGTTTGCTGTGAGAAAGCTGAGCTAGTAAAACGTGTGTGAGTTTCCTGCATGTATCTGTAAGTGTGAGACCACTAACAGCTCAAAACACACTCTCTAGTGTTCTCGTAAAAAGAGTTGTTTCAGGAGCATGTCAGTCTGCGTGTTTCCCATAAATTAACCCCGCTTCCTCTGCCGAGACGCGCAGAAAGAGCTTACCTGTTCAGCGTGAGCAGGGCAGAAACAGAGAGAGAGAGAGAAGACAGCTGTGTGGATTCCTGACGCTTTTCTGTTACGCTTAGCCACAAAGCATTCCCTGTTCTGACGGGACTATTTTCGGAAGGCCTGTAGCTAAACGTGTATGTAAAAGCGCTATTAATAGAATCATGCAACAGGAAATTTTGAGGCGATGCCTCAAAAAAAAAAAAAAACGCTGAGTGCTACATTTAAAAAAAATAAAATTTCTGGCATAGAGCAAACAAATAAAAAAATAAATAAAATAAAATAATAAAGATAGATGGATGGATAGATAGATAGATAGATAGATAGATAGATAGATAGATACAGTAGAGTGCTATCAATAGATTAAAAAAATGAACTAATTAATCACACATTTTTCTGAAATTAAAATGTGTGATACTCTCGTGATCACACACGTTGTGGTTCTCACATGAATGGCGGTGGAGACTGACTTGGAAAAGAAGAAATCGTTGAATCAATTCGTTATCTTTGTTTTCTTTGCACACAAAAAGTATTCTCATACCCTCATATGTCTTACGAGTTTGGAACGACATGAGGGTGAGTAATTAAGGACAGAATTTTCATTTTTGGGTGAACTATCCCTTTAATCATTGACTATAGCCATTCAACATTACAGTATAATTGAGAGCTATCAATTAAAAAAAAAAATTAGACTTTAAAAAACAACAACTTCTAATTGAAGTCAACTTAAAGCAATCTTCATATAAACCCATTATAATAAATGTCATATTTAACTGTGCCCTTCAGCAAGTAGGAAATCTACAGAAATTGAATAAAGTTATCAAACACTAAATTCTAAATTAAATAAAGATGAATTATTAAAGCTACAAAAGTTATTGATTTGCTCTTTGATGATTTGCTGCTTTAAGAGCTGCCGCTGCTGAATATGACACAGATCTGACACGCATCAGTTTCTCACAACTCTTTACCTTTTCTGACTGACTTCAGGTCTTAAAGTCTCTATTAATGAGCTGAGGAGTTGAATGGGGTGTGTTAGATGAGGGAGACAGTGCTGCTGCTCCAGGACAGATTTGAAAACATGTTCTTAAATCTGACTCATATATATCAAATACTTACACATGTGACAGTTTTAAGGCAGCTTTAATCGCCTTTTCGGTAACTTCATGACTTAAAGGGGTCCTATTACGCTTTTTCACTTTTTCAACAATTCCACAGCTTTACTACTAGTAGAGAGACGCTGCCAGGTAGAATTAATTCACACGCAATCGCTCTCACTAATGTATTCATATGAATGTAATCTTTACTGTGCTACTTTATCTGTATCTGATTTAGAACGAGCAGAAATCTGTGAGAAATATAACGACCCAAAGACAAAAGAACTGATAAAAAAGCTGTTATAGGAGCAACAGCCATGTGGGCAGCGCTGTGTTATATGCCATAGCTGTGCACAAGGTGTTTGTCACAGCTCCAGACTTATTTGTTCATTAATGACGTCATCAGCGACTAGTCGACTCCGACTCGACTTTCATCACATAAAAGTCGACTTCAAAAAATCAGAAGTCGTTCAAGCCCTAGTCTGTAATGTTGCTGTTTGAGTATAAAAAAGATCTGCGAAGTTACAAAGCTCAAAGTACAAATCAAAAGGAGATATATTATTTAACAGAAATCATTTTTCAAAAACTACAACGCAACGACTCGTTTGGACTACAACGCATATTTTCCGGGATTTGTGATATCACAAATACCGACGAATGGGACGAGACCTGGTTGAGCAGCACTAGAGAAGGCAACGAGTGCTATCACAATGTCGGGGACACGCTAGCTTTCCCAAAGCAGACGAACTTAGAGTGGTTACAAACATCCAAATTTTAAATCGCGCTCAAATTGATTTGATTTTGACGCAATATTTACACTGAAGTTCGCAAGCGGCTATGATAAAGAGCATGATATTTCCTGACCAGGCGTCGAGTGCTGCCAATCACAACACACACTGGCCGAGCTAACCAATCACAGCACATTTCGTATTTCAGAAGGCGGGCCTTCATTTGATACAGGAGCTATTCGAGCCGTTCATGCCAGACTGGGGAGAGAGGTGTTGTAATAATGTAAAATATGTGGAAAAATAATAAGAGCATAATAGGACCCCTTTAACTGACGACATAACTACGACATTGAATGCTCTTAATTTCATTTGCGCTTTAATATGGAATTATATACAGCATGCCGCCACATTTGTGAGTGCAATTGAAGAGCATGTGCTATGAGCACAGTATAATGGAATAAAAATTTCCGTCACATGCGTTAACGCGCTAATTTTTACAGCACTAATATAAATATATTTTTGAAATTATAAAATTGTTTCAATCTCCATATACCAAAATATATTTCAAAATGTGTATTAGGGGCAAGAAAATAAATTTCCAATGTTACATTAATGATTCCAATTGATTTATTAATTTTTAATTTTAAAAATGTGTCATGTTCACAGGTGTTATAAACATCAAATAAAGCTTTTCTTCAAATGTGAAATGTGAATGTATTTTCTTGGACTGAAATATAAATGGAGGGCAAAATAAATTTTAAAATGCTTTTAAAAATATATTTTCAAAAATACACTAAAATATATTTCAAAATATATTTACATAAATAGAAAATATATATGTATTTAAATAAAAAATATTTTAGTAAATTAAAAAAATGGTAGAATATACTGGTAGAAAATGTATTTTATATATATATATATAAATTCACATATATATTTACGTATAATTATATATATAATTTACATAAATACATTTTGAAACATTTTAGCAAGTATATATTTTGGCCATTTTTTGTACATTTTGAAATATATTTAAAAATATATTTGAAAATAAATGTAAGAGCTTTAACTGCCAATAAAAATACAGTGTCCAATCAGAAAGTGACTGTGTTATAGAAGACTTATAGGCTTCAGTTAAAAGTTGCATCGTGACACTGAATGATTATAATTACTCTACTGTCTTCATTAACTTCACTACTAAAGTGTTTGTGTGAACGCTGGTTCTTACGACTCTATCTTTGATCTACTCTCTGAATCATGCATCACTCTGGTACTAAGAAGACCAGCTAGCTTCCTCTAACAGACGAAGAGACGAAAAGATAAGGAGATGAACAACAAACAAAGAGACGTGACAACATCACTTACAATATTTTATCTCTAAAACAAGTTTTTGATGTGTCAAATGATTACACACAACTGGTCAAAAGTTTAATATTCTTAATGTTTTTGAAGTCTCTTCTGCTCACCAAGGCTGCATTTATTTGATCAAAAAGACAGTAGAAACAGTAATATTGTGAAAAAATATTACAATTTAAAATAACTGTTTTTTATGTGAATACAATGTAAAATGTCATTTATTTCTGTGATCAGAGCTGAATTTTCAGCATCATTACTCCAGTTTTCAGTGTCACATGATCTTCAGAAATAATTCTAATATGCTGATTTGCTGCTCAAGAAACATTTCTGATTATTATCAATGTCGAAAACAGTTGTGCTGTTTTCAGAGTTAAATAATCCGAAAGTTTGGGGTCAGTAAGATTTTTTTAAAAAAAAGGAAAAGAAAGTAACAATCTATTCTGCAATAATGCATTAAATTGATCAAAAGTGACAGTAAAGACATTTATAATGTTACAAAAGATTCTATTTATTACTAGCCTAGTTTAATGAGTGAAATCTATTACTATTCTGACTTCCTGAACACTGTGAACTGTTTGATGAACAATAATGAAGAAGGGGACTGAACATACGGCCTGTTAGTGGATCAGAAGCAACCGAATGAACACTGTACCTGAGTCTTTAGGTTTGGGACTCATCGATGTCTGGCTGATTTTTCTGCTGAAGGGACTGGCCTGAGAGAGAGAGAGAGAGAGAGAGAGAGAGAGAGAGAGAGAGAGAGAGAGAGAGAGGGGAGTGAGAGAGCGCCGGCTCGCTTCCCCCGTCTGCGCGTCCTGAAGCGCTTGATCAGCGCCACAGCTCCCCCGACTACAATGTCCAGCAAAACATCAGAATAGTCGAAAACCGGTGAAATATCGGGTGGTGTGTACTTCCGAATGTCCAGCAATTCGTCTCTGGTGAAACTGATTGCAGGGATATAACTAAAGACAGGACAAACTAACAAAAACATAAAAACAACTGCGGAGCACGCCACGGAGGCAGCCATCAGCGTCGGCGCCATCTTCTAATCATTTTTGAATTTAATGTTTCAAATGCAAAAAAGCCCCGAAACCAAACTGTGATCTGAAAGTGGACATTTACATCTAAACAGTTTTTTTCCACAGAGACATACTTTTTATTAAAACTAACAATTTCAACATTTTCTTGTTGTTATATGAAACATTTTTTAAGCATGCTTTCATTTATTTTTACTGTTTTTCAAATGCCTTTTTATAATTTTTTAGATTTTACCCTTGTCCCAGATGCAGACATTCAATAGTACAACATAAAATCATCATATAAATATGAATTACATTTTAAAACTACAATAATAATGAACATAATGAAAAAATAATCATTTCCACCCACTTCAATACATATTGTGTGTGCATGACTGAATGACTGAATGAGAATGACAGGATCATGAAAATACACTGGCATTTCATAACCTGAAGTAAAATTGGATCCTGCTCTGATTTTGCACAGATGGCACTAATTTAAAAGCAATCATTTGTCATGGTTGATTTGTATAAATGTGCAAAAAACATGTTCTTTCTGGTTCAACATAGCCTCAGATTCCCAGTATTTTTTATTTTACCTTGAACTGACTTGAGGAACTCTGACCAAAGGGATCAGAATTAGCGAAGGGGTCTTTGAACGGGTCGCTCTGCTGGAACGGATCTCCTCCAAACGGGTCAGCTGGAGAACAGTCATTCAAACGCAAATGTCAAAAACATTGTCGAAATCATTCAGAAACAATTCATAAGTGCTTCTTTCTTACATTCAGCCTCAACAAGGTAAGGTCATTACATTTAGATAAAATATCAATGAAAGTTTAATATGCAAACAAGCGAGCAAACGATGCTAGGATGTTAATATTTTTGATTAATGTTTTGTTCAAATCTAGTAATAGACATACTTGCCTTGGCAAACACAACTAATTAAAACAAAAATAAAATACTATTAATCAGGGCTGTGCAAATAATTGAATGTGATTTTCATGCGCATCTCGTCAGTAAAGCCGGTTCTGTGATTAGTAGTAAATCTCCAGCACGTGCTTTCAGATGGAGCGGCATTTACTACACAGAGCTATAGTTCACTGACAAGCTACGCAAAATCGCGTTCATAATCAGCAATGAATCGCCTGAGATTATGAACGCGATTTTGTGTAGCTTGTCAGTGAACTACGGCTCTGTGTAGTAAATGCCACTCCATCTGAAAGCACGTGCTGGAGATTTACTACTAATCACAGAACTGGCTTTACTGACGAGATGCGCATGAAAATCACATTCAATTATTTGCACAGCCCTACTATTAATATTATAATACCATTTAATATTCTATAGTGTACTATTATCAAAAACATAACATTTTTAAACAGCAGGATTGAACTTAACACACGCTTTGCTTCAGAAAAGAAATCTGAAAAATGCAAATGAGCGATGACTCATGAATCCATGAATCATTTTTCAACCAGTTCAGTGAAATGAACACTCTGAATGAACTGATTTCCAAAAACGAAACAGAGGGGGGAAAAGTGCCAGTGAAAGCACATTTCAGTCCCATGGAAGCTTATATCCATGGGACTGAAATGTGGATTTGAAAAAGGATTTAAAGGTGGGTTAAACGATTTTTCAAAAACGCTTTAGAAAACTGATTCGGGCCGAATAGCAAAACAAACTTGTAGCCAATCAGCAGTATTTACGTGTCTACTCATGATGTGGAGGAGAGCGTTCAGTGCACAGGACGGACATTAGCGAGCCGAGCAACAGAAAGATAGAGATGGCGGATAAAAAACAAAAGAGGAAAACGTCTGCGGAACAAAAGGCGGCGTAAGGCAATAAGGCAAGAAGTAGGACCCGTGTAAATATCGGATCAGCTTTCCAGCGCTGGAGAGAACTCAAGGAGCGGAAATAGGGGCGAGACCCTTTTGGGGTAGGGGCGTGTTTGTTTTGGTGATTTAAAATGTCAACATTGGCTCCCAGAAATCGTTTACCCCACCTTTAAAAAGTCATTTTTAAGTTTTTCTCTAACAATTTGCACTTTTTCTCACGCAATTCCGAGTTTTCCGAGAATTTTGCGATTTCTGACTTTTTTCTCACGATTCTAAGTTTACATCTTGCAATTATGTTTTTGTTTCCGCCGCTGAAATAAAAATAACAAAGGTATTTCCAACTTTTTTATTTTGCAACTTTGTTTTTTTCTCAGATTTTATCAGAAACAAAGTCAGAATTGGAAAATATAAACTCTGATATAAAGATAAATTCTGACTTTTATCTCACAGTTCCAAGTTTACATCTAGCAATTCTGATTTTTTTTTCTCTGAATTCTGAGTTTACATCACGCAATTCTGTTTTTTATTTCCACCAAAAAAATTTATAAAAAGGGTATTTGCAACTTTTTCTCTCAATTATTTTTTCTTGCAATTGCGAGTTTGTATCTCGCTATTCTGACTTCATATCGAGTAACTTTGCCTTTTTTTTCTCAGAATTGGACTCTGTTTAACGGTTAAATTAAATTTTTGTAATAAAAAATGTCTAATTAATTAAAATCATGAAACTTATACAATTTAACAACAATTTATTAAATAATACATTTTTAGGGTCCTATGAAATATGTTTAATTTTTTTCTTAAAGTCTGTTTTATTTTTACCAAACTCTGTGTTTTCCATTTAATTTTTTCAGGATTATTTTTTAATGGTTTAATTTAATTAATAATCAAAATTAACTGAATTATCTTGTAATTTTGAGTTTCATATCTTGCCATTTTTTCTGAGAATTGTGAGATATAAACTTTGAATTGTGATAAAAACCCACAATTAAAGAAACAAGCTTCCCTACAGTCCTACTGAACACTGAATATAACACACAATATACGCATATGCAGAATATTTGAATATCGCATAAAATATTTGCGAAAAAAGCACCGTTTCCATCCCAAGTGTTCAAGAGAACAAAATCATCTCTTCCTGGGAAACTGAGCAAAATTAAAGCTGGTGCAACTGGGCAAGTCTGTGTCTCTTTTTTTCTTCATAATAAATTACTTGCGCCTCATAGCACACAGACAAAACACAACTACAAACACTGTTGTGATATCTTGCATTTGGATGCCTGATGTTTGCATGCAACATTTATTTTTATGCAATATCCCAAAATCCACATAAAAAAGGAGGATGGAAACATAGCTACTGAGTGTGAACTGAATGTGCTTGAAAAAATCCCACCTTTATTGAAGGGGTCACTTTTGAAGGGGTCTTCGCTCTGGAAGGGGTCTGCATTCAGGCCTTGAGAGCTAATACTGTTAAACATGGCCATCCTGGACTTAACCAATGAATCCTCCTGAAACACATACAGCATTCAGCACGTGTTTGCTCTCCTCCTCCGACTGCGGGGAAAATATTATCATTGTAATGAGTATGAAGAGGGCATCGTTCAGCTCTAGAGGTCCTCATTTCCTGCACTGGATCTTCTGATGCCAGACGTCACAGACGAGGAAAAAGTGAGCCGTTTGACAGTGGACCAGTGTGTGGCGTAATTACGTTAACTATAACAAGAGTAAAGGCACTCTGACGGACGTGTGTGTGTGTGTGTGTGTGTGTGTGTGTGTGTGTAAAATATTATCATTGTAATGAGTATGAAGAGGGCATCGTTCAGCTCTAGAGGTCCTCATTTCCTGCACTGGATCTTCTGATGCCAGACGTCACAGACGAGGAAAAAGTGAGCCGTTTGACAGTGGACCAGTGTGTGGCGTAATTACGTTAACTATAACAAGAGTAAAGGCACTCTGACGGACGTGTGTGTGTGTGTGTGTGTGTGTGTGTGTAGTGTTGTGTGGTTTTCTTTAACCTTTGCATGGAAGGCCAAGCTGAAGTTAACTTAAATGAGAACAAACATGAGGACTGAAACATAGTATGACCAAACATTCAAACCATATTTCCTTCATAATTTTACAGATTATTCACAGCTCAAGGAGGTGCATTACTGTAGAGGTGATTTCTAAAGTTAAAATATTTACCCTTTGTTTTTACTAAGCCACTTAGTAAATTAGTCCTCAATTAGTAAAAACAAACAGGAAAAATGTTTACAGTAAATACACTGATAACCAGTTCCCAAACCTTGTGACTGCGACTGTAATAACTGGATATAATAATTTCACAGAGATTTTTGAACAATTAAATATTTTATAGTTTGCATGATTACATTTCAATGTTTTTTTTCGAGGGCTGGAAACACAATGTAAAAATTCCAGGTTTTTCATGACAATTGGGACGCTTGTATAACGGAAAAAGTGTAAACTGTAATTTCACTTTAGTCAAAGTTTATTACTTTTGACAAATGTTTCTTTTCATTTAGTCACCATTTCACCATATTCAATAATTTTGTCCAAAATGGCATATAATTTTAGTCAATTTTAGTCTAAATGAAAAAAAAAATTAATAAATACTCTAATAGTATGTAAATAATAATAAAATAACACTGGGCAATGACAATTACTAAAACAAGCACTAAAACAATAATTAAAACTAAATGTGCCAAAATGTAACAGACCAAATGTTAATCAAATCTGAACTTTAAAAAAAAAAAAAGAACGTAAAACGTTTATTAATTTAAACAAAAATGTGTATTGCTACAAATAAATAACTACAATATAAAACTAAAAGCTTAGTCGTCACAATTTCTAAAGTATTTTGTCTTTTGACTATTTTTTTTCTTTAAATTTAGGCAAGCTTTCATCATAGTTATTCAATTTAGTCCAAAATGGCATATAATTTTAGCAGTGTTGTTACTGTTAACTAAAACTATTAAAAAAATCATTTTCAATAATGGAAATAGAGCTGAAATAAAATAACATATATAAATATTAAAAAACCTAAGCAAAAATGAGAAATGTTGCCTTGCCATTGAACTGAACTAAAATAAGTTTAAGTACAAAAATTACTAAAACTAAAACTGAAATAGTAAATATATGAATCGAAATATAGAAATATAAAAAAACTAAAACTAATAAAAATGACAAAAGAACACACAATTACTAAAATGAAAACTGAAAATATAAAAAAAATCTAATTTAAAATATTAATACTACAATATCATATAAATAACACTAAAATAATAACAGTCAATGAAAATGACTAAAATAAGTAAAATGACGAAAATGTGTAACAGACCAAATGTTTAAAAATATAAAATTTAGCTTTTAAATTTAAAATTAAATATTTAAATTTTATTTAATATTTTAATTTTATATTTAAATACATTTATTAATTTAAAAAATTGTAATTGCAACAAATAAACTACTATAATATACAACTAAAAGCTTAGTAATCACAATTTCTAAAACTCCAAAACATATTTCTATGACCATGTGAAACCCTGTAATTCTTTAAACTCATTTCTCAACCAGCCAAACAAGTAAACCTGGTTACTTTTTGCATGGTTTGACTCAGGGGTGGGAATCTTTAGTCACCTCACGATCCGATCCGATTCCGATTCTGGGAGTCACGATCCGATTCCAAAACGATTCTTGACCTACTTTTTTCCCCCTAATTAATTAATTAGTTTACCGACTTGAGAATCTTAAAATCCTTACATTTACATATCCTTACATAAGTAATTAAGTACTTTTTTAAATAATTACAAATTGAAAAAAATAATGAAAACGGTTGTATGTTAAGAATTTTAAACTATTATAACTTCAAACATACAAGCCAGTAGCAAATAATAAAGAGGGGCATAGAAACATATTACAAACAACAAACAAAGAGTGCTTTCAGTATTTAAGATTATCTGAACGTTTTCCATTCAAGAACTGTGAGTGATTTTTCTTCATCTTTACTGTTGTTTTTTACTGTGACATCATAGACAGCGGGAGATCTATTAAGCTGCATTCACGCATGGATCTCTTTTGAAATATAAGAAGTAATGTGGTTTGTCCTGTCCGTTTAATCCCTTAAGACATAACTGGCTGTTTACATTAATTTTGCGCCATAAAACCATTTTGAGACGCAAGTGCATTAAACCACTTACGCGGAGTCGTGCACAGCCGCATGCGCAAGCAGTCTTCACAAACATAACGCGCGTATTTGAAATTGAAAGCAGCTTTCTGTTAGTGAGGTTCATATTTTAAATATATGTCCACTGCATTCCAAACCATATAAATGATGACTTCGTAGAGCATTTGTAAGGAAAATACCGACGGGAGAGTCCGCACACTTCAAGTGTAACATCAAACAAAGCGCACGTCTCTCACAGCGCATCCTGTGCAATGAAGCCCGCGAATGTCCTTGCAATTCGCTTCAACCTTTCCGAACTTTATGAAAGATTATTTTACGGAAGATTCGAGTGGTGTATGTGTGTGAGGAATTGGAAGCACGCAGAATGCGGGTGTTTCTAAAGCAAACTCAGCATCATTGCGCAAAATAAAACTAAAGGTGCGTTCACGCCATATCGGAATTCCCGTAAATACGAGATTCCAACTTGTAAAAAGCGTTCACGTCCTCGTAGAACTCGTAATTACAACTTGTGAACTGGGAGTTTTCTGAGAGCTACGACTTGTACCACGTGACCGCTGTACCACCTGACCACCGCAGGCTCTGTTTAGGCATTGATAGTGTTGCCAAAGAAAAGCATAATTCTGAGTCCGAGGTCGTGAACAGCTCCGAGTAGAACGTCACGTGTAGTCATCTCGAAATTACGGTAATTACGATATGGCGTGAACGCAGCATAAGCTCAGAATCCAGAATCGTTGGGAGAGAGAATCGCGATGCATCGATGGATCGATTTTTTCTCCCACCCTAGATTCACTCAGGTCACCAGGAAGAGACAATCTGTTCCCCCAACTTAAAACAACCTGGAAAATCTCCTTAAAGTTCAACATACACGTACACCTGTGTCTCTCAAAATCAGGTACACCTCAAACCCCATGAGCACATGATGAAGACTTTTGTGAAGCGTGCCGTGATTCCTGACCTTGGTGCCAGCGCTGGAGCTCTCCTCAGCGATGAGCTGGTCCAGGTCGGCCAGGCTGATCACGCTGTCGTTCAGAGTTTTGCTGAAGCGTTCGATGGTCTTATTGAGCTCTCGCTGGGCATCCTGTATCTCACTGAGCTCACTGCGCGTCTGAGGGAACAAGTTCACAGCCCAAACGTCACTTTACATGACTTTACTGCAGGCACTTCAAGAAAGAAGTTTAGAAGGTGTTTGATATACTGAAATGGGATATTGCAGTTTCTTTATTTTTATTTCTTTGTTTATTTTTTGTACATTTGAAATGTTGCTATTCCGGTTTTTTTTTTTTGGTAATATGTAATTTGCAAAAATATGTTGCTGAAAAATATAAAAATCACAGCTTTTGTGCAATAAGGTACAAGAAGTTGCGCTATATTCTCAATTCAACATCACCTGTAGTGCCACATTGCATTTATATATATAAAAAAAAAAGATTCAGGACACAAATGTCATTAAAATCTTTTTACAAATATTTTTAGGAATTTTACCACTTGGTATTTAAATATTAATGCATATGCATTGCTCTCTGAAAGGCCAATTGAAATGTATTATTGATATCAAATGTGCGGTGGATTTATATTTTTTTATAATTTTTAGCAAGACTGAAATCTTAATGGCAAGAACAAATATTAACAAATTTACAAAAACTTTGAAAAAAAACTATATTAAACATTTCAGATTATTACAAGACAAAAATTCTAAAACATATACAGGTGATACTTTTTTTTTTAACTAGATCATTTAAACATTTGAGTAAAAACATTGTCTATTTACATTAAAAAATGTGCAGTCCAATGTTATTTTAGTATCATTGAGATATAAATATTTCGATTTTTTTGTTATTATATTTTCTATTTTAATTTTAATTGAAGTTTTAGTAATTAATTTTTTTATGTTTATATATATATATACAGTGGGTACGGAAAGTATTCAGACCCACTTAAATTTTTCACTCTTTGTTATATTGCAGCCATTTGCTAAAATCATTTAAGTTAATGCAGACTCTCCTCCAAACGCTGCTCCTCTTGTTCCAGACAGTACAGGTCCGTCTTCGTTCTGCTCACTTCCTTCTCCTGCATCTGTACGTCTGACTCCTGAGACAAGATCTGCGTCTGCAGCGATGTGATCTACACACAGAATCAAACGCTGTGAATGATTCAGTCAATAATATACAACGATAATCATTCTTCTTTTAGATAGACAGACATTTGATTTTCAGCATGAAGTCATTCAAACCAATGGGGTTTGAGGGGAAGTCGTGGCCTAATGGTTAGAGAGTCGGACTCGTAACCCAAAGGTTGTGGGTTCGAGTCTCGTACCGTGTGTTTGTGGTAAACAGCCACGGATCAGTAGCGGACTCCTGTGTGAAAGCTGCTTCTCCTCTCACAAGAGTCACCTAAGAGGGGAATTCCCCTCATTTTCAAAAATGAAATTTAGGCCCTGAATAAATGTCTAAAAATCCTGATTGGAGTATCACTATAAATAGTTATAAATGATACAAAAGAAGGCTTTAAAAAGATCGGTATCGGCAGATACTACTTTCTGTGATCGGCCTCAAAAATCCTGATCGGAGCACCCCTAGTAAATACACTAATAACCAGATTTTCCAAACCTTTTTACTAACACGACTTTTCCAGTCATTATTGGTTCGGGGGTGTGCGGTATCACTATTTTTGATCGTGGACAATTAAAATGTCTCCACGATCTGCTTTTGAAGAAATATTGTAGTATCGCGCTACAGCGCACATTCTATCAGTCGCAGTTCTGGCGCCTCTGTCTCAATATACTGTACAACACCACATACATTCACATCAAATGTTCATTCATCGGTAGTTACACTCACAGAACACTGCACTTATTTGCATTCAAAAAAGTACATTTATATGCATGTGCTTTAAAGCCTTGTCGGTTAAACTTTTCATTCACGTGCTGTTCTGACACGTGCTTTTTCTGAGTGTGTACACTAAATAATTCTGAGCGCGCACACTAAAAATCCTGTCAAAGAGCGCCTGATTACTGGACTAAGTTATCTTTCGCGTCTGATTGTGCTAATACTGTCAAAAACACACAAGGTTTACATATAAACACAGTAATCAAAGTAAACAGTTGAGAGAAGAACGGATGCGTGCCTGAATATTAGATGCGTGCAGGTCTTAAAGTGACAGCGGCCCAATAGTACTAAACATGCTGCCGCTTGTCATTAAAGGGGTAGTTCACCCAAAAATTTCAATTCTGTCATTTTTTACTCACTCTCATGTTGTCCCAAACCTGTATTTCATTTCTTTCTTGTGGTGAACACAAAAGAAGATATTTTGAAGAATGTGGGTAAACAAAGAGTTGCTGGTCCCCACTGACTTTGATAGTAGGGAAAAAAAAATACTCACTGTAGTCACTGTGAAGTCACTGGGGACCAGCAACTGTTTGGTTTCCCACATTCTTCAAAATATCTTCTTTTGTGTTCAGCACAAGAAAGAAACTCATTCAGGTTTAAAACAACTTGAGTTATTATATATTTTGTTACCTTGTAAGGCTTTGTTTTTAAAATAGGGAAATTAGTTTGGCTGTACTGCTCAGAAAACTTCCAAAATAGTAAAACCAACACGACAAAGAATCGTGTTAAAATTGTGAATCGTGATTTTCCAGAAGAAAAAAATATATATATATATATCATATGATATTTTTGCCATATCGCCCTACCCTATTATTGGTATAAGGAAAAATCATTTCAAAGAGAGCATTTACAGTACAAAGACAGATTTTTAGCCAACAAAATATTTTATCGTTTCCATGATTAAACTTCCATGTTTTTTTGAGGCCTGGAAATCGCAATTTAAAAATTCCAGGTTCTCCATGACCATTGGGAGGCCTGTATAATAGAAACAGTGTTACATGTAATTTGACTTTAGTCACAGTTTTTGTCTTTTGACAAATATAGTTAATACTTCATTATATTTTGAAAAATGTACAATTTAAAATAGATTTTGTCTAAAATGGCCCATCATATATATATA